AAAACAATCGAAAAATTCAACAAATTCGACCAAAAACGACGTTATTTTTTAGTTAAATTTTATGGAAAGAAACAATTTGTCAAATTATAGATTTTTCAATTTTTTTTTGTAAAATATTTGTCAAATAAAGGCGAAAACAGCTAAAAACGATTTGAATCGGTGTTTTTGAATCAAAAATTGAGCAAAATTTGAAATGAACCCAGAAATGATATTTTTATTTGGCAATAAAAATAAATAGTCCTAGTGATAAAAATAAAGACTATATTTGTAAATTTAATTTTGTTTTCCTCATTAGCTTCCAAAAAAAAAAACAAATTTTGCAATTTCACGAATTTTTACTTTTTATATATACTTTGTCAAATTGTCTCAAAACTGTACCTAAAAGGTGTAATGTAAGGTAAAATGTTCCGAGAAGTCGATTGAGGTAGAGTAAACCGCAAAATTATTAATAGTTTTGAAACTAGAGTCGTATTTATATTTTGGTATTTTTGACTTTATTAGAAATTTTCTCGATAACTATTTTCTTCATAAGATAGAAAATTAATTTTATCGCGAGCGGCAAAGCCGCGAGCCCCCTATAAATTTCAACAAAACCTGATAGTATAAATGTGATTTCAATTTCTACTTAATACTATAGAAAAAAACAGTATTTAAATCGAGTCTTACCTGCAGAAAGGCTGCGAGGTGCAAGCCGAGCAAGTATGTAATTGCTTACAAATCGGACTAGGATCAAGTGGACATTGTTCCAACTTAGCAATATTCGCCTCTGAACTATTTCTACATTTCTTATTATGCATACACGAGGTGCCACACCAGACACACTCACTCGTCGTTTGAACACAACTCAAACAATCCTCAAACTTCTCACATCGATTCTCATTCTGTATCAAACTTTGAGTAATCATCGTACGACTCAATTCCGGACACCGGATTATCAAACCATCCAATTGCATTGTTAAATTCTTCACCGGAATATTCTGAATCGCTTTACAGAAATTATTCCTCATATCCCAGACACATTTAACACCGGGCTTTTTACTCAAACACTCATTGGAGGTGATAAAACTCGTACACTTTCCCGGAGTGTATTTCAACATATCTGATAACATTTGACCATCAAAACCGCCATAAATGTACAACGAATCCTCAAAAGTGACAGCCGAATGACCAAATCGTGCCAAATCGGCATGAATATCTTTTGGCACTTGTAACACTTGCCATGTATCGCATGTGACGTCATAGGCGAGAAACTCCGAACTGTAACATTTWGCACCGAAACTYTGCAAAGTATCATTGTGGGTATTTCCCCCAAAGACAAGCATTAAACCCCCCGAGATAAAAGTCGAAGTGTGTAGAAAACGCGCCGAAGGCGCGTCCTTCAACAYCACCCAAATCCGACTATTTGGATCATACGAATATAGATTTTTACTCAAAACTTGTGCTGATTCATTCTCCGAAACAACACCACCATAAACGTAGATTTTTCCTGTTAAGGGATCCCAGCTGGCTGTGTGTCCATAACCACCTTTGACTGGATATCCTTTCGTTGAGACTATATGCCATTCACGGGTACCAAAATAATACTCTTGTACTGTGTTTAAGTAACCCAAATGMGGRGAATGACCAAATAAAACAATCATACGATCGGCTTTCCGATTTGTTGAATTTTCAATCACGGTGGCTGTGTGACCAGCTGATTTAAGTGGGCCACACATTAAAACACTCGAATTGCACGCCACTGCTTTTACAGTTATATTCTCCCAAGTTTTGGCATTTATATCGAAGGCCCATACTTCGGATGTGGGACCACGATTACCCAAAACACCACCATAGAGGAAGATTTTATCGCCGTAGATGACAGTCGAGTGGCCGTAACGTTGCGAGGGGCTCTCAGATATGTAAGGTGTCTCCCATACGTTACCTGAAATGAAAAGTGCACGCCACTGGTTGGTAATAATACAATTTCACCAGATCTGGTGATTTGAGCGGCAAAGCCGCGATCCCCCACAATAGCAGACAATATCAACTTTAGACAATAAACAAGCGGTTTTTAGGCCTTATTTGTATATTTTGGGGCTAGTTTAGTACTCCACTAAATTCTAATTTCATCGATTTTCTTGAAATTTTTAATTTTGAATCAGAAAATTATTCATTACGGCCCTGATATGGTTCAAATTGTTCTAAATTTTGCACTGATTGTACATCGAATTATGTACTTTTGGAATTTTTTTCGAAGATTTGGCAAGTAGTTTTAGCCCTCATTTGTAAATTTTGGGGTTAGAACTACAAAATTGCTCTAACTTCATTATTTGTTAACAGATTTTGTTCAAATTTTTAATGTTGGCAGTAATTCGTTCTAAGTGAGCAAAAAAAAAATTATCTTTTGTTTGAAAATTTGAATTCTTTTTTCGAAGCAATTTGAATTTTTGTGCTAAGTTTTATTAAAAGAAACAATTGGTCAAATTATAGAATTTTGAAATTTTTTTTTGTGAAAGATTTGTCAAATAAAGGCGAAAACCGCTAAAAACGTGGCGATTTTTTGGAAAAAACTGTTTTACGAGCAAAAAGAAAAAAAAAAATCGACAAAAAGTCTATACAGGATCAAAAATAACAATTTATTTTTTTTTTTTTCGAATACTTTTTCAGCTAGAAATACAATTATTTTGCAAAATTTTGTCAAAAACAAGAAACAAATTAAAAAAAATTGCCCCAAAAACGGCGTTTTTTGTCACAAAAAGTTAG